AGAAATCAAACTTTGAGTGATCTGATGTGTCCTGCTGTGGGCGTCTGATCTGTACGTGTGTGTCTGCATGTGTTTGGAGAGTAGCAGGGCAGGAGTTCAGAGAGTGGGATGAGCGCCAGAGGTGCTGAACCCAGGCAAAGTGTATGTGCATGTCTATATGTGTGTCACTGTATGTGTAAGTATGTGACTGCCAGGGTTAGCCAACCCTGAGAGATTGTGCACCGAGGTGCCTCTAATATGAATACAAGAGATACTGAACCGTCACTGATACCCTGGCCCAGGCTCAACACACACACACACACGTCGTGTTTTCATTGCTTGTGGGGACTTTACATTGACTTACATTGATTTCCTGTAGACCTATCCCAACCTTAACCATAACCACTGCTTGCCTAACCCTGACCCTAACCTCACCCAAACCTTTAAACCATGTTGCCACCCTAAAATTCAGTGAGTCCCCACAATGTGAGTGTGTTAACAGGTTACATTCCCCATAATGTAAGTAATACAAAGGTACTCACACAAACATACAATACACTTTCATATAAACACACACACTCAAAGCATTCACCCCTTAATATACATATGGCCACACATCCTTGATTCAATACACAAACATTCTAATATATCTGTTCAGTATCACACACACTTTTTTTCTTACACAAATATGTCAAATGGCTTGATATACAGGGCCCAACACACACATGGTCTACTACATCCCCTCGTTCCGTACCTCGCTCCAGTGACAATACAGGACATTAGGCAAGCAGAGAGGAGCACTTCAGTTTCTAGTCATCTAAACAACTGGAGAAGAGGAGGAGGAGAGAGGAGAGGAGGCGAGCATCAAGAATGCTTTGTCTGAGCTGACTTTCCAAAAAAACAGCCGGCACGCTCTACTTCTTCTGCTCTGGTAGAAATATTAATGTGCTTAGGGTGTTGAGGCCAAGAGGAATTGGGCCAGTAAATACTGTTTGAATAAAATATTCCGTTTTATGTGTGGGATTTTGTCAACACGTAAGCACCTTCCTTTTCTGTCCCTGGTAGTGGGCTTGCTGGGGGACAGACAGAGGAAAACAAGGAAATTTATGGCTGAGGAAGACAAAAGGACAGATAGATTTACCAAGGAAGGCAGAAGGAGAGACGGTCCCGTTACTACGAGACACCATGACGCTGATGCCAGTCTCCACAAAGGGCACGGAGAAGTCAATGGCCTCTGACCTCTCCTCATTGATGGTCAGTGAACCAACTGCCATTGCTGCCTTCTTATATACCACCTGGAAGACAGAGAGAACAAAACTTACATTGAGTACATGATTCCCTACCTACACTGGCAGAAATAGTGAGCTCTGTAAATCTTTGGACAACATCATACAATTCCTCTTTGATATATTCCTCTTTTTTTTATTTTGGATGTGAAATATCACAGTGACTGAGGGCATAAGTGCAGAATGTCAGCTCTAGCTCGAGGGCATTTTCAGCCATATCAGAAGAAAAGTACAAATACAGCTGTCTTTTTCATGATGCCACCATTTCTGGGTGTCTGAATATATTTTGGCAGATGTAGATTTTGCTTATAAAACTGTTGCTTGGAGTAGGAAGAAAAATGTTTTTCTTTTTCACATTTAGTAGTCTCAAGTCTTCCAGCAGTCTCCTCCCATAAATATTACCACAATCTATGGATCACATGGTCATGTTCCATCACTCGATGTTTAACATTTCAGTTCCAACCTTTAAGGGTTTTATTATGACAGCACTTACCTTTTAATGTAATCTATGATTGAATAATGTAAATCATTTTCAGAAAGATAAATGGTAATGATCCAGTGAGCCTCAACATATCCTGTTTCTGCTGAAGAGCTTCTTAATTAGAACATTAAAGCCCTGATAAGAAATACTATTGACCAGATAAATCACATGTGCATAATTAAAGACTATAATTTAATGATGACAAACTATCTTCTGTGCTGCCTCACAAGTGATCATTTCTTGAAAATAGAAGCCTTGTCTACTCCCAGAAACAAATGTCAATGCTCTAATTATTTTACAACATCAGAGAACATTCTATCTTGTACTCTGTCATCTAGTTTGACAATGTGATTTTAAAGATCTGTCAATCAATAAAATGGATTTTTAAGGATTAGTGATGGGGGGGACACCTTTGCTTACAGTTGGATCCCAGCTTTAAAGGATAAGTCTGGTGATTATCCATAATTTGTTAAAGTCAACAAATACCACGAAAAGGTCAAAACCAGTAACGAACTGATCCCATTACTGAGCACTGTCTGTGAATCCAAAGTCTACTATAGTTAACTCCTCTGTGAAACAGACCTCCATTGTTTGAAAACTATAAAAACATCAGTGAGCCACACTGCTGCATGAGGACTCTTGGAGGACAACTAGGACATGCAGAGAGTTAGTTACATAATTGACAAAGGCAGCTGAGGTGGTGGCTAGCCACTTTCTGGTACCCAAGCTCAGCTACAGTAGTTGAGGTCCTAAAAATGTAAATTAACAATCAAAACGTATTTCTTTAAATGATACCACTGACAGTCAAAGGACAGACTGATAAGTATAGGCTGGTAGACAGACAGACAGTACCTCTCCAACCATGCCATTCCACACGTTGTTGATCTTCTTTCCGTGTTTTCCATTTGTGACCAGGTAGAGGTCATAACTGAACTTGACAATCCTTGCTATCTTCTTCAGAATGTCAATGCAGAAACCCTTGCAGCACTGCTTAATGTAGGCACCTCCTAATGTGCTGTTACTGGAACATACAAACACAGACATACACATATGGACAAACAATTTGGCCAAATTTTAATATCAGAAGACATTTCAGTGTTATACAGGCAAGTGTGTGGAGTGTAACGGTAGTCTTGCTACCTGCTCGCTCCACATCTGGTGGGTCCATCAAGCTGTAAATCTAGAATTATGACAATGCAGGCTAACCATTAATAGTGCTGAAGGGCAGAGAGTGTCTGTTTCTCATAGTGCCAGCTAACCAAACCAGATACAAACACAGGGGTACTGAGCAGATGCTGCTGGGCTTTAAATAGAGCTGGGCTCTGCAGAACAACCACCCTACATGATTAAAGTATCAGCTGTCCTTCCCCACATCTCTCTCCTCATTTCTCCACACTGTCCTCCTGGCTATAAAGAGACACTACTCCAAAGCTCAGCTACACACACACCACTGTATACCTGCAAACACCACAGCCACACAGTCAGAATGCACAGAATGAAAACAGATGTTTAAGTGAACATTTCTGACAGCCGTCAGAGAAGTGCACTAAACTGAGTTGTTGGATCAAATGATTCTCATTATCTATTAAATTGTAACAGTATTTTCAAAAGCATTTCTATAAAACATTTATTCCATTCCCATGTCGGGCATCTTTGATGTACATGGATTGGAACAGTAACTCTGTGACCTTTTCACTTGCCATTTTAGTAACGCCCAATTCAAGAGAAAGATTCACAAAGAACTGAAGGATTCCAAGAGAGCGACTGTCTAAGAACTGAAACATCAAAGTATTAAAAGATCTTGTAGCAGTAGTCAACTGCATCTGTGGCATAGCTTAACACACATGTGTGAATGAGTGTGACTGAGAGAGGCCATTGTGTATACACTATAGGTGTGTGTGAGTCTGCACAGTACGTGTTCTAATGCACACATACTGTATACTGTACATTAGCTCTTCCCAGCTGAGCCACCTCTGTATCCTTATATCACTACACACAGAAGCACACACGCACATACTGTACACACACAGTGATAACTACAGACCCCCCAAGGTAAACATACAGTACATACACAACAAAGTAGTGACTTGAATGTAGTAAATGTAGCACGCATGGATAGCTGGACAGTATCAGTATGGAAGCATGGATGGTTGGCGCAAATGTAATGTAAACGAAGGCCTAGCACAGACTAGTCATCTTGGCCTGGGACCACTCAGACTGTTACAGTGGCTGGGAACAGAGAAAGGTTAAGAAAGGATCAGGTCACAAATTAAACTTTCAGTGTGCAGTGATGCAGTCGTCTAATTATCCATGCCTAAAGTGTTGCGTTATCATGATTCCACAGATCAGAAACTTGACAGTGCTACTTTCAGTCTTCTTCTCTTTGAGTCTCCTGTCTGTCTTCTCAAGTCCATCTGACACAGATATAGTGGATTCTGTTCATTACATCTGAGTTTTTTGCACTTTCCTTGAGGCTACCAATGACTGGCCTGTCATATTCAGTTAAACTCCATCATAGCCTGATGACTATCCTGAACAATTTTAAGCCTTTTCTTTTGCCTGGTTGAAATGTTGACATTTATTAAATGTATGAAATTATTGCTGTCAGTCTTGAGTAGAATATTTGAGAAAAGATGGCTTTTCATTGGACATTTAGACTGTGTTGTGGCTAGTGATCAACTAGACGCACACTACAGATACAATACTTGCCAGTCACAAACACACCTGCAGCTGTTCATCAGTTTTTATGTATTCTGAAGTGGCTTTACACAGATGAGCTCAGGCATGAGCTAAATTGTAGAAATTAGCAGAGAGAGAAAGAAAAAATCCACCTTGTCCTGTCATGCAGAGTCTCTTAGTGAGCTGTCCATATTCACAGATAATTGGAGCAAACCCCAAGATGTCAAAGAATTCAAGAGAAGTTTCTTTAAAACTTTTTACTTTCACTGACTTTTTGAGAATTATTTCTGCATTGTTTACACACATAAGAAGGCCTGTAAGAGATTTCTATAACTACAGTAATGCCTTTTAAGTTTTTCAAAGAGAAAATCCCATTGTATTACATCACGTGTTCATGTTGAAAAAGGCTCTAAAGCCTTCTGCTGGGCTGATTCTCAAAGACGTAAGGCAGAAACGATCTGCAGTCTTAGGAAAATATATAAATGATGTGACATGATCACAATATAAAACTGAAGGTATTAAACTGAATGCCTAAATGAATCTATAAACATGCTTCATTTGCAGTATAATGAATCAATTCTACATTTCATACTTTTATTTTTAAACTAATTTAAATCAGTTTGAAATAATAAGATTTGTAACAAAGGATGATTTGAGGCTTTCATCTCACTGTTGTTGCAGGGAAGAAAGTGACAGAGTGAGGTGAGTGTGAGGTAGTGAGTTGAGAAGTGAATAAATCTGTACATATACATAAAAAAAAATCACATTTAATGAGAGCGCTCAACAGTCGATATGAAACATTTTCATTCCATTAGTTGATGGTGTAATCGAGACTGAGTGCACTGATAAGAGATAAAATATTCCTGGGATCCAAAAGCAATCATGTCAGATAGACGCATGCTAAAAGTAAGAAGAAACAAATCAAAGTAAACAAGTATGAGAGATGTTTTTAAAATAGCAGGTGCAGAGTGAGCAAA